GGGTGTTCTTGAGATTTTCTGTTGGTTCCCAGGTATTTTTTAAGATATTATACTCTTTTCATTTCATCAAGTAGTGAAGTTTTCTGCTGATCTTCTGATGATCTAGTATTCATTTGACTTTGTATTCTTGTTCTTTGTTGATTTTTGTGGGCATTTCTTTGGTGTGTAGTGGTGCTTTCTTCAATAATAAGATATGAAATACTGGGTGTATTCTTATCTTCTTGGGTAGCTGAAGTTTGTAGTTGACTTTTTTGATCTGCTTTGTGATTTTGTATGATCCTAATTTTTTGAAATTAAGTTTTTTGCTTGGTTGTTTAATTTTGATATTCTGTTGAATTAGAAATATTTTTTCTCTCTCTTTCAGGATTGGTGCCTTCTGGTATCTTCTGTTGTAGTAATACTTCATTCTCTTGTTCAGAAATTCAATGTCTAGTTTCATCTGGTTCTGCAGTTCATGTAGTTGTATTGCTGTAAGTTCTGCTTCTTGAGTCTTTTATTATGTAATCCTCAGTTATTTCTGTATTTCTGGTTCTCTGCTGTAGTTCATGTAGAATGGTGTTATTTCTATAGTAGTGTTCTTTGCTTCATTGTATATTAATTGTGCCATGGATAGTAGTGTAACTCAATTGTTCTGTTGATAGTTGACATATTCTTACAGATATTGCTTCAAGATTTGATTCAGTTGCTCTGTTTGTTCATCTGTCTGTGGGTGATAGACTGTTGATATTTTCTGTTCAATTCTCAATTGTGCCATCAGTATTGTCCAGAATTTGCTTGTGAATCTGGTGTCTTGATCTGTAATTATTTCTTCTGGCAATGGCAAGCATGTTTTGCAGTACTATCAGTGCTGTATCTGGTGCTGTTGTTGCTTCTCTGAACAGTATGAAGTATCTGTACTTTGTTAATCTGTTAGTGATCACTAGTATTGAGTTGTACTTCTTCCCTTCCATATTCTTCAAATTTGGAAGTTTTATGATGAAATCCATTGCTATAAATCTTCATGGTTCTTGCAGTTGCAGTATTGGCTGTAGCTTCCTGTATAGTTGGTGTTTATTGGCTTTGCTTCACATATATATCTCACATTCTTTGACATGTTGTTGAATATCCATCCACATTTCTAGCCAATAGTAGATTCTTGTGATTTTCTTCATTGTCTTGTTGGTCCCAAAATGTCCTGCAGTGATTGTGTTATATTCTTGTACCATCACTTGCTTTCTGACTTCTCTGAATATGTATATCAGTTTATGATATAGTATCATTTCATCTTCTTTCTTGAAGTTCTCATTTTTCTTGTTAATCTTTTTTGCATATTCATCTTTCTTCATTGCTTCTTTGATCTTTTCTTTGATATTCAATCCTTCTGTGGTGATTCTTGTTGCTCTTAATGTTTGTTAATCTAGAATTATATTCTTTGTTTCTTCCAACTTTTTAAAGAGTGTTCTTGAATCTTGTTCTTTTCTTATAAGGTTTAGTCTTTAGCTTAATGCATACACTCAGGCATTTTCTGTATCTTTACAGTGTTATATTCTGAAGTTGTAGTGTACCAGTACATCTGTGTATCATCTGGCTTGTTATCTTGTAAGTTCTTTAGTTGTTATAAAGTATTACAGGTTGTTGTAATCTGAGATAATTTCTGTCTGGTGTTGATTTTCTTGTAGTTTGATCTTTTATTTCTTCAGTGATACTATTATTGCAAGTAGTTTCTTGTTGTAAATATTGTAGTTTTGTTCAGCTGGTGTCATTGTTCTTATGTAGTATATAACTAGTTGTAGTCTTTCTTGCTTATCTGGTTGTTGTAATCTTCTCACTATTATACAGTCTGATGCATCTGTATCAATTACACATCTCTTTGTGAGTTGTAGTGTTGTCTTATTTCTTCTTTTCTGAACTTGTCTTTTATTGCTTCAAATACTTGTTGACACTCTGCTGTCCATTTAAACACTTTATTCTTCTTGAATAACTGTGTAAGTGGTCTTGCTTCTTTTGAAAATCTGTGTATAAACTATCAGTAGTAATTTGCTAGTCTGTGGAACATCTGAACTTCTTTGACTTTCTTTAATGTTGACCATTGTAGTATTTTGTTGATTTTTTCTGGCTTCATTCATATTCCTTCTGTTGACATAATGTGTCCAAGATATCTGATTTTCTTCTTGAAGAAGTCACACTTCTTTAGTTTTGCTGGTAAGTTGTATTCTTATAGTTTTTCCAGTACTTTCTTGAGTTTTCCAGTGTGATTCTTTCAGTCTTCTTTAGTGAATATAACCACATCATCAAGGTATTTTGTTCTGGGGTCTGTTTTCCATTCATTGTCTTTTTTGATTTGTATTTGGTAGTAGGTGTCTTTGATGTTGATTAGAGTAAATCATGTTACTTCCCTCAATCTGTCTTGCACTTCTTTGATTAGTGGTATTGGGTAGCAGTTTTTAACTGTAATGCTGTTCAACTATCTGTAATCCATGTATAGTTGTAAGGTTCTGATCTTCTTTAATGCAAACAGTATTGGATATCCTGCCAGTGATGTTGACTCTCTGATGTAATCTTTCTTGAGATTATTCTTGATGTATTTCTTCACTTCAGCTGATTCTTTCTCATTCAACCTGTATATTGACAATTTTGCTGGTTGTTTTCCTTCTTGTAGTTTTATCTTATGGTCCCAAAGTTTGTGCTTTAGTAGACTGTTGCTTTGATCTCTTTCTCTGAATATATTAATGTATTTCCAGAATTTCTCTAATAGAATTTTCTTGATTTTTTTATCCTGGTTATTCTTTTATACTTGCAGCTGCTTTAAGTTATTAAGGTTCTTTATGGCTTGATCTGCTTTGTCATCATGAGTTGAGCTTTCATGGGTTTTTTTGGTATTGATTGATTGTTCTCTATGCAGTATCTTTCTGTTGATCTGACTTATTATGGCCAGTGTCTTGCCTAAGTTGTTTCTGAGTGTGGGTCTCTGATTGTGGTGTACTGATTTGGGAGAGTATCTACAGTTTGTCAGTCTAATCTTTTCTTCTTGCCAGTTGATTTCTGGCTTGTGCTGTTTTAATCAAGAGTATCCCAAGACTATATTATAGTTCTCTAGATTTGTCACTTTGAAACACACTTTCTTGTGGTATTATTCTATTCTCATTCTGATGAGATATGTCTCTTTTTCAACTCTATTGAGGGCTCCTCCTCCCAGTTCTGATAACTGATAGAGATATTTCTTTATTTGCTTTATGATACCAGCTTGTTTAGTGAATCTTCTGTTGATGAATAGTCTGGTTGCTTCTAAGTCCACTAGAACTGTTGTGTGCTTTGATTCAAGTAAGAATGCTGTAACTCTGAGATGACAGATTTGTTTGTTGATAGTCAACAGTTTTACTTGTCTATTCATACTGCTTACAAGCTATTATTTGTGATAGTCTGCTTGTTTCCTGAATCAATAAGAGTTGTCTTAGATGCCTGATTATGTATTTTGTAATTATTTTTGTTGGTACATTATTTCTTATATATTTTCTGTATATACTTATTGTCTTTGCATTCTGTGTAGTTTTCACATTTTTTCAAATTATACAGAGATCTTATCATTTTCCAAAATCTTTTGTCTTCATGGAATTCACATTGGCATTTGTACTTGAATTTGTTGTGGCATAGACAATTTAGTTTTTTTATCTCTTTCTGTTTTTCATTCCAGTGCTGTCTGTATATTATTATTACTAGTAATCTGTTTTCTTCTTCACATGTGGTCCAGTGTAATTAGTTGTCTTGAATCTGTAATGTTCTTGCTGTTGGATATCTTGCCTCTTCAGATATTATGCTTTCTATAAGACTGAGTTTCTTCAAGACATCTTCTTTATATTTCTCAAATTCTAGTATTTCCCAACTTGATTCTTTCTTCAGCTTTAGTGTGGTTGTCTGTTCTTTGCTTGACCAATATTCTTTGTTATTACTGTGGTCTTGTTTCTGAGTTGCTCATAACTTCTTTGGTGATTGTAGATAGTATCTGCTGTTCTTTTCATCTCTGTAGATAGAGCAATTATTGTTGTAGCAAAATCTTCAATAAATTCTGATGTGATCTGGATGTTCTATAGATGAGGTATTCTGTAGATCTGATATTTTCTATTCTTATTTCTCAGTATTACATCCGCAACACTAATAATTTTTGATATCATAACTGTAGTCTCTGTAATACATGAAGTTTTCTGTAATTTGTATCTATCATTCAAACTCTTCTTGTTGTTTCTGGTGAAGCTTGCATGAATATCTATAGATTGGCTACTGAGCATGTTTCTTATGCTTTGGGTTCTGAATTTCATCTATTTTCTTTTTATAGCAGTATTTGCAGTCAAGTAGTCAAATTCCCTAATCATCACTTGATTTGCTTCTTGTTCTCACACATAATTCTTTGCATAACTTCCATTTTTCATTATTCAGCTGGTTTTGATATTTTAGTTCATCTTCTGATTGCTGGAGTAGCTTCAGATAAGCTTTTATAACTTGTTCTTTGAATATCTCTCTGAACTGTTGTTAAAGTTCTTTTTTGATTTATTCTTTCTGAGTTATTGCTTGGAGATGTTGTTTAACTTCAGAGTCTTCTTCATTTTCTTTTAAGATTGTTCTGAGTTTCTTGTCTCTTTGATCTGCTTTCTTTGCTCTGTACTGCCTTGCTTAGTGTCCAGGCTTAGCATAATAGAAGCATAATTTTCTTTCTTTCTCTGCTCTTTTTCTTTCTCATCAAGCATGTCAACTTTCATTATGTCCAGCTCCATGAGTGTGTGTCTGTAAGAGTCTGATTATACATATTTGCTTCAGTCTTAACTTTCAGTATGGTTCAATAAACTGGATTACTTCCATGGTGCTTTTTCTTGCTTTTCTATCTTTTGTTTGTAAAGTTGGTTTCCAATCCTGACTGCCACTTTGATTATCTTGGTCAGGGTGTGTGGTTATTTCTCCAATCACACTATTTTATCTTTAATCTTATTGAATAGTTCTTGATAGTAGATATTAGCTAAGACTTTATTGTTCTAATCAGTGTTGACACAGATTTGCTGGAATCTTATAGCATATTCTTGTGGTGATATCTTTTGTTGTATGTAATATAACTGCTGGGCTGCTATGTTTTGTTCTTCAACTTCTTCAAAAGTGATTTTCAATGTCTGAATAAAGATATTATAACTGTCAATAATCTTAAGTATATTGTTGTCCTGATTGACTTCATCTCTTTTATAATAATTCCACAGATAGATGTAAAACCAATCAAATACTGCTCTGTGAAGATATAATGCTGCTATTATTATCTTGTCTTTATTATTACTGAGTTGTTTGCCTTTCATATTCATGTAAATATGCAGTTGTCTCAAGAAAGCTTGTAATTTTTCTTGTTTACTCTTGAAGAATTCCAGTGAATTAACTTTAACTTTATCTTTCTTTTTCTGTTGTCCAGTGAATAAAATAGCCATGACCTGAGCCTCAAGCTGCTTATTATAGTTTTTCAATTTGTGGTTCTGCTCTCTATGTTTTTCAGTAATCTGTTCAAGCTGCAAGATTCTATTCATAAGATCTTGAGTATTAATAGCTGATGCTTTGGATGCAGACATGGTTTCTATACTTTGTTAGATCTTGATATGGGGTGGAGGTTGTATCTTTATACTTGATATAATGTAGAAAGTTCTTTCTTTGTATGCAATCTCTGGAATCTCAGGTGTATTCTCTTCTGAGTCAGAAGTAATTAATATGTTGTGTTGGGTTTTTGGTGACTGGGAATTTCTCTGGGTTCTTTGAGATCTTGAGAGTATTAAAGAGCTCAAAGAGAGCATAACAGATTGAAGATAGTGATCAATAATTCAATAATGCTCTGGTTGAGTAGGTAGTCTTGCTCTGATAACAAAGAGTTTCTATACAGATATATCAGAGTTAGAACAAGGCTATTATATCTTCTTAAGAGTAGTGGGATCAGGTACAATTGTACAGTATCACAAGACTTCAGTAGTATAGAAAGTAACCAAGATATGAAAGTATCTGATTCAAAGATATCTGTAAGATAGGTAAGAAGATTAATTATGATGAACAAGTCCATCAGATCTCTGGTAATAAGTGTTCTTATATACATGATGCTCTTCTGGTAATACTTGTGATACTTTCTTCCAGATTGCTTGTGTTGTAGTATCATGATATGTGATACTCTCTTTCTCATATCTTGTCTTGCTTGTATCACTTCCTGGTCACATGATTTTCTGCCTTAAGGTTTCTCCACAATGGTCTGTGACTCTGCCTTGTCAGGTTTCATCCAATTGTCCTGTGTCTTTAGCTGCCGTGCCACAAGTTTCATAACATAACATGACTGTAGTAGGCTGGTATTCAGGACTGGGACAGGATCTTATTTTCTATTGAACCTGGTTCTGATCCCAAATTTAGAAACACCCAGGATCCCAAATATAAAATCTCAGTCCCATGTCCCATTCTACTCAAGAGCTTGAGATCCTGTTCCCATTTCTATCCCAGAAATTATTTCCTGGTCCTATTTTCAAATAAAAAATTATGTTCCACATTCTATTCCAGCAGAGATGGTAGACTCCTATTTCCCATTCTGGCCAGGTTTATAGTGGAACCAGAATGGGACCAGAATTCCTGATTCCATCATGTTAAATTTATAGGGAAGAGTCAAACTGATGAAATTTTGTGTGAACTGTTACCAAATTTTATTACTTTTTTGATAAAGGTGGAACTTATAGAAAAATCAATTTGATTATCAAAAGAAATAAAGTATTAAAACTAACTAATGGCTGAAGCCAGCAAACAAACAGAAACTACCTAAATAGCAAGTTAATTATTATTGTTATTATCTTTATTATTATTATTGTTCTTCTTCTTTCTCTTCTTCTTCTTCTTTTACTTTTTCTTCTTCTTCTTCTTCTTCTTCTCCTTCTGCTTCTCCAGAACTGGCTTTATGAACTAGGCAGGAGCTCTAATACCTAACATTTGACAGGCAGAGACCCTGATGGCACCAGAGAGAAGCAGAGAGGCAGTGGTGAGTGGTAGTGGTAGTGATGGAGCAGCAGCAGCAGTAGTTGGTGGAATGGGGGCAGTATACAGGTGATGGGTGGTGGCAGCAGAGATGAGGTAATCAGATATATTAATTGAGCTGAAATAGTTTGATTTGATTTTGGCACTGATGCTAAGAATGAGCTTTGTATTGTTGATGTTGACTATAACACACTTATAGTGCACCATTGCCATAACAGAGTCTATATTACTTAGTATAATTATTAGTACCATTGCTAAGAGTGACTTACACTTAAACAAAGTACACAAAATTACTTTAGCTGTCTTCTAAAGTAACTTAATAACAGTATATTGCTAGCAATATTCATGTTCTTGATAACAGAACAAAGTAATTTTCTGAATCAATTACTGGAATGGGGCCACTGGTAAGATTAGCTTGATAGAGCTCTGGAAGTGATGAATTTTCTTGATAGCATCTATTTTCACTAATTAGTATCAAGACTATTATCAAAAATTGTTACTTTTTAATATACAAGTGCTGGCCTTTTAATTTTGAACAGAGAGGCAGGGGTGGAGATTCTTCTGGTTAAAGTTAATTAGATTAATATCTTTATTAGCTTTACATCAATTGCTCTTCTTCAGGGTCCATTCTTTCAATATAGTCTTGTGCTGCTTCTCTCCAGCTGTGTGAAATGGATGTGCATAGAGAAAACTAACATCTTGTCAGTAAATAATATATGCCAGAGCAGTATTCTGCAAGCACTCATTTATTAATATAACTCATTTTGTTATAGTATATGTTTGTTGTATGTGTGGATGTTGAAGCACAGTAAATAAAAAGATGGTAGAGGGGGAGAGTGTGAGAATTGTAAATCAGTGTGACAATGAATCTCTAGAAGAAATATACATAGAAGAAGAGTATGTAAGATAAAAGATCTGTATTCTGGCAACTATATATAACTTGTAAACAAGATTGTCACTGGCTTCCAGCAAGGGGTTTGCATAGTGATGATCTTTTATATATGCTTGTGAGCATGTAACTTAGTGCCTTGTGAGAACACATGCAACTTCTAGCAGCTTGTAAGCTGAGGTCTCTGATCTTCACAGGTGCTGTTTGTCTGTGTAAGAGGTTTGTGATGAATTCTTACAGATTTCCCTCTCTTGTAAGTCTTGGTTTCTCAAGGTGGCTGTCTCATTAAAAACCTTCATGAGTAGAAAAACAAAAAACCTCTTGGGAAAAATAAAAATTTCCTCATAAGAAAAAGAGTACAGCCTCACTAGAGATATAATATCAACACAACTCTAATAATACAATAGAACCCAATAACACAATAATGTGTAAAAAGTCTCTATTGTTCTTGCTATCTCTGTATTATTATTAGATAATGAACACTAGCTTAAGAGAGAGCTTTCTCTTGCTTTCCCTTTCTCTTCTTTTCTTCTCTTTCTTCTCTAGTCTATATTATTATTATCAAGGTAAGTGAATCCTTCAAGCACTGCTTCACATGGGAAACAGACTTGTGGAAGGTCTCTAATGTTCTGGAAGAAAAAATGGCTACATCTTGATACTTCATCTGTCTGGCTGTGAGATTACAAGTTGATAAGTTCATCTCTGGTTGTGTCTTTGCTTTATGTGATTATAAGATTTGCCTTCATGTGAGGTTTAGTTTGTGGAGAGACTGATGCATGCTAGTTGCTGCTGATTTATTCTCTCTCTCTCTCTCTTCTCTTGTGAGTTGTCTCCACTTTTCTCTCTTGGGAGAATGCCCACACCCCTTCTCTTCAAAAAAGAGATATCCAGGCCTTCAGTGAGTATTTCTTGTGAACTTGGGAAGTGTTTGTGACTAACAGTTCTAGAGTATTGTTGCTTCTTCTTCTTCTTCTCCATCAGTCACTGTTATTCTCTCTGTGTCAGCTCAAGCTGTAAGTGTCTTTCACAAGCTGATACTGATTTGTGTGCTGATGAAGTTAGAGTTCTGCCACTCTGTCTTTCCTTTCTGTAATTGTCACTGCTTCAGCCCCAGCTGGAAATGTGAGTATTCTCTATCACATTTCAGTTTACAGCTAATCTTCTCTACATTATTGTTACTGTTCCCCCTGCTCTGGCAGGGTTTGTAGGTACCATGATCTTGTGGAGTGCTTGGAACTATCCAGTACCCCCTTCATGAGATTGATAATGGTGGTCCCAGACCATCTTCACCCAATTGCTGCCAGCTGCTACTTTTGCTGGTGCATTGCAGGTTAATCTGATGGTTCTTCCAGATCTCCCCCCCCACACAGGGGCACAAGCTTTGTCTGTCTATAAAAGAGCATGGTGTTGTGAGCCTATTTAAAGATCTGTACTTATTGCTGGTTTGAATAATTTAAATTAGTTAACTATCTGTGCCCAGCTTTACAAGAGTATTCTTGTAACTAGAGCTGAGGCCCAGCCACCACCAGAACAGAAGTGCTCTGTCTGCAAGAGAGCTTAGCAGAGCTATAGCAATATAGTCTTTACAGAGTGCATCTCTGCAGACTTGAGTCAAAAATATAATAACTGTCTATACTGTAGGCATCTTGCTTGCTCTTTTCAGCAGTAAGATTATAAATAGTTGTTACAGATCTTTGCAGGAGGGGCTGAAGACTTTAATTATATAGTCTTAGTTTAGTTTTTTCTTCTTTTGTTTTGAAATCAATTAAATTCAGTTCAGTTTGACTATATCTTTTCTCTCTCTAACTTATTTTCTAGTTTCACTATCTCCATCTATCTCTTTTGTGAATCAGACTTGTTCAGGTTTCTACTATAAAATTGTTGGAGTAGCTTTCTCAGTGGACAGATATTACTTGCAGGAACTCATATCTTGTTCTTCTTATTATTATATTCTTTCTAATATACTCTGTACCACAGCTTGTAACTCTCTCTCTTTAAGTTAATTAGCTTGTAGATCTGGTACTTCTTTTCATTCTCATCTGTCTTGTAAACTTTGTGATGAGGTGAGCTATTGATTTCTTTGTGAGTCTTGTATTTGTGGAGCAGGGATATATGAAAGATATTATAAGTTTACAGACCTGGAGACAGTTTCAGTCTGTAGACTTGTAAGTCTATCTTCTTCATAATTCTACAAGGCCCATGTCTCAACAAATTCAGTTTTTTGTTAGGCTGTGTGATCTTGATATTGTGAAGATCAAGCTACATCTTGTCTCTTATCTGAAAGATCTTTATAGTGTGGTTCTGGTTATAATACTTCTTCTGATAGACTTGTGTTTTTGTGAGCAATTTCTTGATCTCTTTGCAGAGCAATCTCATTGCCTCTGTCTGATCTCTTAAATTCTTGCACACATAGTTATACTTATCAGTGTTCAAGAATTCTATCTGTGGATTCAGCTTATATATCAGCTGGAAAGATGATTTCTGTGTGGAAGTCTGTTGTGAGTTATTGTACACAAACTCAGCCATTGGCAACCACATCATTCAGTTATCTTAATTATAATTAACATAGCTTTGCAGGTACTGCTCCAGCACACTATTCAGTCTCTCAGTCTGACCATCAGTTTGTGGGTGGAATGCTGTGCTTATTGCTCTTGTAATTTTCAAGATGTGAGTTAAATCACTCCA